CCCCAAAACCCCAAAACCCCAAAACCCCAAAACCCCTAAATATCAAGAAACGATTGGAATTATATTACCAATAATATGAAGACTACTGCTATTGTGATTGCATTAGGAGTTCTAGCGGCTTCTTACTTCCTAGTCGCACCAACTGCTGATCCATTAGAGAGTGAGTTCCAGATGTATCTTGGAAAGTATGGAAAGAACTACCATAATGAGGAAGAGTACAGCTTTAGGCTCAAGGTCTTTAAGCAGAACTACCAGATTATTGAGGAGAGCAACAGACAGGGTAAGTCCTACACCCTTGGGCTTAACAAGTTTGGTGACTGGACTAGAGAGGAATACAAGAAACTACTTACTCATAATGAAGCTGGCAAGAAACAAGCCAAGGTTGCAGATATCAAAGGGGATTACGAGCCGGATCCAATAGATCATAGAGAACTTGGAGCTGTCAATCCTGTTGTGAACCAAGGAGCTTGTGGAGGATGCTACGCATTCTCAGCAGCCGCTGTTGTTGAAGGAATGCTCTTCAATTTCGGTAAAGGTCTCATGAAATACTCTGAACAAGAGATCATTGACTGTTCTGAGGCTTACGGTAATGCTAGATGTAATGGAGGACATTTCACCCAAGGATTTGATTTCTTGCATGAGAATTTATTCTGTACCGACAAAGAGTACCCATACACTGCTGGAGCTGAAGATGAGTGTAAGTACTCTACTTGTGACGACCTGGACCATGAGATCACTGTTAGAGAGTATTTCTCTGTTCCTGAAAACAGTGCTCTTTCTTTGAAAGAGAGCTTGACTTATAACATTATTGGTGCTGGAGTTGGTGCGGACTCAGAAATCTTCCAGTTTTATAAGAGTGGTATTGTAAATGACAAGGCCTGTGGTAACAATAATAACCACGCTATTACAGTTGTAGGACACGGAATTGAAGATGGAGTAGACTACTTCATCATTAGAAACTCTTGGGGAGCAGACTGGGGAGAAGAAGGATATATCAGACTTGGAACTAGTTTTGAAGAGGATAAAGGAGTTTGCGGAATCCTTCAGGATCTTGCCTTCCCAATGTATAGATGCTAATCTTATCTATTATGAAAATCATCTAGACCATATTCAATCTTGGATCTGTATAAAGGGGTTTTGGGGTTTTGGGGTTTTGGGGTTTTGGGG